TCACTAGAATAAACCCTAAAAAAATTCTCTAGACCTAAAAAGTGACTAACTTACGGATGTTGTTGTTTTCGAAGTTGCTATTGTTGTTTTTGTTATGTAGGAGCCAGTGTCAGTATGATCGCTGCCGGCGACTGCTGGTAAAATGAGATACAGTAAAAAAAGACTCGTATGCACAGAGCAAAAGAGCTGAGATGTGAAATATAATAGCATAAGCAGAAAGTCGGCGAGGATCACTGATAGGCCGCTCGCCCGCTCGCCTACGGAGCGAGAATCAGAGAAAAAGAGAGAGAGAGAGAGAGAGAGAGAGAGAGCGAAAGAATATATGTACTTATATGTATATGTGAGACTGAGAGATTCGCCACGTCTGGCGCCGTACTGTCGCATCCTATATACAGTAACGTTTATACTTTTCTTCTCTGCCACCCCTCCTCTTACTCCTCTCGGTAGTTCTCGACCCCCGCCGCCTTCGCATCTCATATCTCTCTCAGCAAGGCTCTCAAATCTCAAATACTCTCATGTGGTGTTCTGAGCTCTGACACATTAGCAGCTATCGTCATTTGTTTTATTTACAAATCATTACTTAGAAAATTAATTTTTTTTCTAGGGATTTTTATAAAGTTTTGGAGTCTAGGGAATTTTTCTAGTAACTTTTAGATCTAGAGATTTTTTTTAATTCTAATAAGATTTTAATAAAGTACTAGAAAAATTTATCTAGGGATTTTTTGTAAATCTTTAATCTAGGGAATTTTTCTAGTAACTTTTTTAATTCTAGTAAGTTTTTAATAAAGTACTAGAAACCTTTATCTAGAGATATTTTGTAAATTTTTAACCTAAGGAATTTTTCTAGTAACTTTCAAATCTAGGGATTTTTTAGAATCTAGTATTTATTAAAATTACTAAAAAATATACCTAGGGATTTTTTTGTTGATTTAAAAAAATTTTTTTTTTAAAAAAAGGTAATCTCGTAACATTTGTCGTTAATTAAAAATAAATCTCATCAGATAAACAATTTCCATGAGTTTCTCACGTTCTTTAATGGATGTCCATCAAGTTGTTCTCGTTATAAACATATACATACATACATATATATATACACATATATATATATATATATATATATAAATATAGCAGTTTGTCCGCTGCCGTAGAGTTGTTGTGCCGCGAGTTACTGCCGTACAAGATAGAGATAAAGATAAACCCACCGGAGCCAGATGGATACTGTGAACTGACCGACTGAAGAGCTAAGAAAGAATCAACAAAGAGAGAAAATACATTTAACTTCCCAACTACCAGCCGACTTTGACTATAAGACGAGGACGAGGATGAATTATACAGCAACTATCCATAAAAGGACCGCGACATCCGAAAAGACCTTCTTGGACCTTTCTTTTTACCTTCTCAACGTCTTCCATTTGAAATCCATATTAATAATTTTTGTTTGTTTATATTTATTTCAATATAACCTTCGAATTAACTTTCTGCAAGCGAGAATATTTTGCGACAATACGCCACCTATTGGTAAAACCAAGAACTAATTTTTTAAATATTATAATTATTATCTATATTATTAAGAGAATAAGAAAAATTTTGTTTTCTATATTTAGGCTGCATTTGAAAATTATCTCTAGAAACATAATTAAGAAATGACCTTATATCTCGTGAACTATTGACATTTTTAAAGATATAAGCTCATCCCGATGTTATACTCATCGAGACCTTTCATTTGAGTACCCACATCAATTTTTCATATATTTATATATTTTATATATATGTATATATGAAAAATATATCAAAAATACATGTGGGTACTCAAATGGAAGCTCTTGATGAGTGTAACAGAGATTTTTTGAACTAGTGAGTTTTTTTAGTAACTTTTTGCCCTAGGGAATTTTTTAGGAAATTTTTCTAGTAACTTTTCGATCTAGGGAATTTTTTAGTGAATTTTTCTAGTAACTTTTGGATCTAGGGAATTTTTAAAGAGATTTATTTACTAACATTTAAATTTAGGGAAAATTTTCTAGTAAATTTTTTATCTAGGGAATTTTTTGAGTAACTTTTGGACCTAGGGTATTTTCTAGTGAATTTTTATAGTAACTTTTGGAGCTAGTGAGTTTTTTGGGGAATTTATTTAGTTGCTTTTGGATTTAGGGAATTTTTTTTCGTAACTTTTGGATCTAGGGAATTTTTTAGGAGATTTAATGACTAACTTTTGAATGTAAGGAATATTTTCTTGTAAATTTTTAATCTAGGGAATTTTTTGAGTAAATTTTGGACCTAGGGAATTTTGAAGGGAATTTATTTAGTTACTTTTGGATTTAGGAAATTATTCTAGTAACTTTTATAGGATGAGCAACTTTTATAAAAAAGTCAAAAATTAAAAAATGACCTTGTATCTTGTGAACTATTGACATTTTTAAAGATTTAAGCTCACTCTGACATTACACTCATCAAGACCTTTCATTTGAGTACCCACATCAATTTTTCATATATTTATATATATTATATATATATGTATCTATGAAAATATATCAAAAATGCATGTGGGTACTCAAATGAAAGCTTTTGATGAGTGTAACATTAAGATGAGCTTATATCTTAAAAAATTTCAATATTCAATAAAGTACATTGCAATTTAACAAAATTCATTGTTTAAATAATATTAATTAATAAAGCAAAATTTCATTATTATTATAAAGTGACAGGTGTCCCAAATTCCAGATCGAAGTCATACCCAGAAATCTATATTGATCTTGTTATATATTTTTTTTTGCGTACGAAAGCGCGAGGAACATCCGGTGATTAAATAACACACACGGGGCGTCGAAATGCGAGTGAATGTCAATAGTTATTTTGTTTAACTTTTATTTTAATGTCAACCTTTAGAGACAGCGACACCGGCTGGTCAATTAGCCGGATGCTCCCAAATTATCACTTTTTGGAGGTGCAATCCCGTTTTTAAGGACCCATTTTTAACCGAATAAATAAAAGCAGGTGGTACTTTTCAAACTCTCTCATTTTTATTCTTCAATTTTTTTCTTGTCATTTTATTTATTTTAATATTACAAATGTATCTTTTTAGTTCTTTATTTGTTTTCATCCTATCTTAGGAGCTATAAGTCCTATAAAAAAATAGTTCTTACAAAAAATTGTAGCTTTAAGTCTCTTCTTTACAATAAACTTTACCCAATTTCTTAATTTTAATTTTAAAAAAAGTTTTGAATTTTTTAAACACCAAAAACGTGAAAAATTTCCAAAAAAATGTGTTTTTTGAGTTGGAGGCGCTGAAAACTTTATTAAAAAAATTTTTTTTTCAAAAAATTTTTAATAGGTCTCAAAGCTAAGACTCTAAAGATTCTAAAAATTCCGGCGAAGACATAAAAATAATTAATTATCTATTTTTAATTTAATATCAAAATTTAAAAATCACTTTTTTCGCAAAAATCGTTAGTTTTCAACTTTAACAATTTTTATTAAAAAAACAATTGATTTTATAAAAAAATTTTTCATACAAAATTTGTACATTAAGGTCTCTCCTTTCCACCAAAATTTACCCGGTAGCTTAATTAAAAATCCAGGCCAAGTTATTATTTTTTAAAATGACAAAAAAAATAAACCAACTTTTAAAAACATATATTTTTAATAACTAAGTAATTTTCTAATTAAAACTCACTAATGACTCATTTTAATCACTAACAGCTGTCATTATCTCTTGCCTAAAAATCTATTTATTCTATTGTATTATCTACAACTTGTTATCAAAGTGCACTTGTACTTATTATCAACGAATTGGTCATCGACATTTTAATCAAGATGTACTTAATCAAAATAAAACTTTCTATTTATTTTTTTATTTAAAAAAAAATTTTTGATGGCCAAAAAAATTATAAAAAATTCTGAAGGTCGAATAAAAATTTTTAAGAGCTTATTTAATTAATTAATAAGTGAGTAATTCACTTAGTTTACTGTTTACGTTTAATTAAATGGGCTTTAAGTGCGTGTGTACTTGACATAGATAAAAAATATATAAATATATACTTACGGGCGAGTTTAGATATGATTTTATCAGCTATTGCACACCTGTGATTGCTTACTTAATCTTGGTATTTACTTTTTTCTTTATAAACGATACGACGAACTCGAGATAGCTCGGGTTCTAATTTTGAAAAATTATTGTATCTCTCTGGATTTTTTTTTGGAAAAATTAACCACTGGAGGTTCTAGATCAGACTTTTGGCGATCCAAAAACCTCCCTATTGGTCCACTTTTGACCAATAGGGGCCGAGATATCCGAGACTAAAGTCACCAACAAAATTTTCAAGGTCATAGTCTAGATTTTTGAAAAGGGACGACTTTAAAAATTCATAACTTTTTTTCTGATCAAAATTTTGGAACTGGGTAAATTTTGGCTTAATTAAAGAAGAGACCTGAAGCTACAAATTTTGATGATAAAAAAATTTTTTCGGATCAATAGGAGCCGAGTTATTAATTTTTGAAAACAAGCCTGAAATCAAAAAAATCATTTCTAACTTCAAAATGATTTTTTGAGAAGCCAAAATTTTTTTTGAAAAAATGACCTAGCTAAGGTTCTAGATCAGACTTTTGGCGATCCAAAAACCTCCCTATCGATCAACTTTCGACCAATAGGAGCCGAGATATTAGCGACTAAGTAATAGGTGCAAAATAATCAACAAAAAATGTAATTAATATATTTATTTATTATAATTATTATCACTATCATAATTATTGTTATAATAATAAGGTACAGAAAGTAAAAAAAGTTTTTTTGATTTAACACATTATTCTCGTCACTGACGATTATCAAATTAACCATTTTATAAAATTGCGTGGGAATAAAAAAAAATACTAGTTAAAAAAAAAATAAATTTTTGTACTTAACATCAGTCGGCATAACTGGAAGCATTTATATACATAATAATAAAAATAAAAAATCGCAAATAATAAAAATTTGATCACCCCCACCCCAATCACTAAACATTCACCTACTCATCCTTTTTCTTCCTGAGCTTCCCCTCAGTCTGAATTGTCCTTGACACAAGATCCACACACTCCCCTAGCTCCGCCCCATTTACCCCCTCCACCCCACTATCCTCCCCCTCCCTAACAATTTTACTCAAGGTCATAATATAACTACAAGCGATCCTCAATACCGATAGTTTAGACAATTTTTGATTGTGAGAGTAGGCGGGGATGCTCCGCCTGAGAGTATTAAAAGCCGCACTGATTGTATGGACCCTGGTCCGCTCCCTAGCATTGGCCTCGATCCGCCGCTCCCTGGTCATGTTCTTGTAGTTCCTCTGACTGTGATTTGTACCCGACTGTTCCGAATGAGCACCACTGGTCGAAGACATCCGACTGCTCGGAATTTTCCCGCCTCTTTTATCTTCGTACGGCAAATCAGAGACCCCTGGGTGGGGAGGGACACGCCCCTCTCTTAGAACTAGAGCCAATGGCTCGTTTTGGTGGGCGGAGTCTTGGAGGCGGTAATTCAGGGAGTGACTTCTTTTTTGTAAGGTATCCGTACGGATTTTTACCTCTTGTAAAAATCTAGGGTCAGAATTTAGAGCTCCTGGTCGATAATTGGAGTCTTGGTGGGGGTCAGCCGTACGGACGTTACCTTCTAGATCAAATGTAGCCGCACGGAATCTACCTTCTGACTGAAAAGTTGAAGTATGAAGATTATTTTCTGGATATGGAGTAGCCGTACGGAGCCTAGATTCAGATTGTAAGTTAGTCGTACGGATTTTATCCTCAGAAGGTAAGTTAGATTTATTTAAATTAATTTCAGATTGTAAAATAGCTTCGGTACGAAATTTAGAGTCCAGATGTGGAGTAGCCGTACGGCTGATGGCTTCTTGATGTAAATTAGCCGTACGGAAATCTTCTTTAGATTGTGGAGCTTCCCGAAGGCCAGCTTCGGGATGTTGAGTAGCCGTACGGAGCCTAGATTCAGATGACAAGCCAGCCGTGCGGATTTTATCCTCAGTATGTAACCCATACTTATTTAAGCTAATTGCAGATTGTAAGCTAGCCGCACGGAAGTCTTCTGTAGATTGTGAATCTGCCCGAAGGCCAGCTTCTGGGTGTGGAGTAGCCGTGCGGCTAATTGGGTCTTGGTGTGAGTTAGCCGTACGGAATCTCGAGTCTTGGTTCAATTCCTGGCTTTTAGCCGCAATCTGAAGCCTTGCGAGAACTTGAGCGTGAATTTGAGCCTCGTACAGCCGCTGGACCTCCTCCTCCCTCCTCCGCTCCTCCTCGATCCGCCAGCGATCCTCCTCCTGTTTCTCCGGCGAGTTCCAAGGTCGGAACGGGGAACTACTCCGCTCGATGAGCCGTCTTTTCTTCAGCGGACGATTTGGGTCTGATTTTAACGCTTTTTTTGGCTCCGCAAGCTTCCGCTTGTTCCGCAGGGATATTGGGGAGATCTGGACCTCCACACTGTCCTCCGAGCCGCTTGGAGAATGCAAGTTCTCGTCCTCGCCGCTGCAAAATCCGGCGTCTTTTTCGGACCCTGACATTCCGTCTGAAAAAAAAAAGGAAGTTGTTACTAAAAAATTCATAACTTTTTTTGTAATTAATATTTTTGAACCAATAAAATTTTTTCTCACTCAGGAGACTTGAAGCTACAATTTTTCTCATAAAAATTTTTTTCTAAAGCCAATCAGAGCCGAGATATAAATTATTAAAAAAAAATAATAATAAAGGTAAAATTAAGAAATTGACTTTTTAACTTTAAAAAATTATAGTGGCTAGGCAAAATTTTTTTTTAAAAAATGGTCAAGCTAGGGATCTAAGTCAGACTTTTAGCGATCCAAAAACATCCCTAGTAATGTAATTTGGATCTATAGATCCTGAGATATTGAAGGTTAAAGTTTGCTATGAAAAATTTTTAATTTGAGTTATATAATTATTTTATTTTATTTTATTTAATGCGCAGTAAAAAAATAAATTGAAAGTCGAAGTGCTTGAAAGAGTGATGTAGCGATAGACAATAACGAAATGTCGATCATAAGGTCCTCGGGGTCAGCGACAGGCGCCACTGAGCCAGTCTCCGATCGATCTCGTTCTTACTCTCGTCTATCAATAAACACAAATAATGCAATAAATTGTAAATAAACACGCTTTGAAGGAAATAAAATCAGTTTTAATGAAATCATTCATTAAAATTTTTTTTTTTATTTAAAAATTTTTAAAGTTAAAAAAAATAACTTTTTAATGAAATTAAATTTTTAATTTCAATAATTAATATCTTGGTTTTTATTAATTTTAAAAAAATATTTTTTGAGCAAATTTGTAGCTTAAAGTCTCTTCTTTAAGACAAAATTTGTCCGGTTCCAAAATTTTAATTAAAAAAAAAGTTTTTAATTTTTTAAACACTAAAAACGTGGAAAATTTCCAAAAAAAAGGATTTTTTGAGCTGGGGGCGCTGAAAACTTTATTAAAAAATTTTTTTTTTCAAAAAATTTATAGTAGTTCTTAAAGCTGAAGGTCTAAGGATTCTAGAAATGCCGGCGAAGATATAAAAATAATTATTTGTCTATTTTTAATTTATCAAGAAACTTTAAAAAAGAGTTTTTTGGAAAAAATTCCGATTTTTAAGTTTGACAATTTTTATTAAATAAAAAATTGATCCTACAAAAAAAAATTGATACAAAAGTTGTAGATCTAAGTGTCCTCTTTAAGAAAAAATAAATAAATAAAAAAATCCCACGTGTAAAAAATAAATCCGCGTGACTCATAAAAGGTATAAAAGATCACGTAGGAGTAAACTTGCTCGGTCTTGAGACTTCGCAGCTGGTGACCGTCTCGCCCACTTGCGTATTTTACAACATATTCCTTCTTTTATCGTCGACATATTTAACTTTCCGCACGTGTCTCTTCTCTATTTTTTTCTCGATCCAGCATCTGGCGAATAATATTTTGTTTTTAATTAAAAAATAATTTTTTTATTTAAATTTCACTCAAACTCTGACGGAAAAATATTAACTACAATTTTATTTCTTTAATTTAAAATTTACTCCAGATGTCTCGAGTTATTTTCACACGCCGGATGTACTGTTTTAACAACTGTGCTCTTGTGTGCGCACGTGCCGAAGAAAATTTTATTTTTTAATAAATTATTTTTGGTCTAATTTCAATTTTTAGATACTAGGACCTAAAATATGACTTTTAAAAATTCATAACTTTTTTATTAATTAGAATTAAGGAACCAGACAAATTTTATGGGAAAAAGGAGACTCTAAGCTACAACTTTTGTTTCAAAAATTTTTTCCTAAAATCAATAAGAGCCGAGTTATAAATTATCAAAAATCAAAATCACTGTTTTAATCTTCTTCCTAATAAAAATTCCAACGAAATTTCCCTCCAAACTCCTAACAATTACCCAATTTCGTCACTCCCACTCAATTAAAACAAACCACAAATTAAAATAATCGACAGGTGCGCAATAATTCACCCCAAGATCCTTAATCTCCCCTCCAATTGAAACATAAACACCGTGAGTAACCCTTTAAACACCAAACAAGTGTATAATCACAATAATTTCTAACACACGTAAGCGCGTCTGCACTAATTGCCCTTAAAAAACCTTCTTAACCCTTCCCTAAATTTCCTTCTCCTAAAAAACCTCACAATTTTCCTATTTTTCCGATAAAATTCCTCCTTTTTCTCTAAAATTCACTATTTCCCCACTTTTCTTTCCTAAAATTCTATTTTTCATCATAACTCCTTAAAAACTCTTCCTATCACCTCACTTAGGGAGTGTTTCGGTTAGAAAATTTTCCGCTCTACAATTTCGTGTAAAAAATTTTCCTCTTAACCCAAAATTTTCCTCGGAAAATCCAAAAAAATACCGGAAAATTATTTAGTCTTCTACTATGGCCCGTTTTTCCCATAAGAATTTTAGTTTTTTCCAAATTTTCTTTTTCTAGGAATATTCTCCGGAAAATTTCCTAACTAAAACACTCCCTAAGTCTGTACTTAAGTCACCTAGAATCTTCACAATAGGCGCCGAAAATTTAGCTCATAAATTCTCACTAACTTTTTCCTCACTTATTTGTCCTAAAATTCTATTTTTCACCATAACTTTTTCAAAAATTCTCCTATCACTTCACTTAGGAAGTGTTTTAGATAGGAAAATTTCCCAAAAATTTTCCCTTACTCCTAAAATTTTCCTCAAAAAATCCAAAAAAATTCCCGGAAAATTCTTTAGTCTTATAGTTTGGTCCATTTTTTTTTATATAAATTTTGATTTTTTCAAAATTATTTTTTTCTAGAAATATTTCCCGGAAAATTTCCTAACCAAAACACTCCCTAGGTATATACCTAAGTCTTTTAGAATCGTCACAATCGGCGCCGAAAATTTAGCTTAGAAATTCTTTGTCATTAAGTCTGGATTCTGCCCACGCTGGCGCCACGTCTGTCTTTTTATTCTTATTTTTTATCCTCGGCTCGGTTTCTCGCGACCCCCCTCCCCTTGTTAAGTCGTCATCTGAGCGATCGGCGATCGAGAAAATACCTTACATTCGATTTTGTCCCGTCAGACTGGCGCCAAGTATAAAAAAAATTTTTTTTTGCGTGGAAAAAATTTTTTTCCGGAAAATTAAATAATTACCTTTAAACGCGAGCTCGCACGTTTCACTCATTTTAAAAAGAAACCAATTTTTTTTTCACTCACAAAATATTTTTCACACACTAAAAAATCCAAGGGAACTTTTACTACGCGCTGTGACGTGCTAGCGCGAACGTTTGGCGCCTGACTGATTCTTCCAGCGCGTGGGTTCCGAGTTCCGAGCTCTGGGTTGGGAGAGGAGAGGGGGTGTAAGACAGTAGCGGTATGTCGGGAGTAGGGGGCCGACTCTCCGGCGCCAGACTAGCTTTTTTTTTGACTTTCTCTGGTGACTGGCGCCGAGGATTTAAATGTAGCTTTTTGCGAGATTCGATGTAGTTTCGAGGGGAAATGTAGGAGAGGGGGAAATTTTTCAGGAGAGGTAAGAGTGGGGAAAAATTTAGGAATTAATTTTTTTCGTTCCTAAAATAGTTATAATTTTTTTTGTCCTAATTTAAATTAAGGAACCACATAATAATTAATTTTGTCTCAAAATTATCATTTAATTTTTTCGTGATAAATTTTAAACTCCAAAAAATTATTGCGAGCTTCCAAAATATTATTTAAAAAAACGACCTAGCTAAGGTTCTAGATCAGACTTTTGGCGATCCAAAAACCCCCCTATTGACCTAATTTCGACGAATAGAACCCGAGATACTGCGACTAAAGCCGAAGTAAAATTTTCACGGTACTTAAAATAAAAAAAATTAAACCTGGACTTTAAATATAATTTAATTTTTACGACCCTGGGAAAGAAATAAAAAAATATTAATGCTCAACTTTCTTGGGCCCTCGGGCTCTCGACTTTTTCTGAAAGGCGTGACTGTTAACCGACGCTCGGGTTAATAGTCACTTTATTTTATTTTTTTTTCTAAATTTAGAATCTCAAAAAAATTTCTTCCTTTGCTTTGATTGCAGGATCTCGGGTTCTATTGGAACAAATTAGGTCAATAGGGGGGTTTTTGGATCGCCAAAAGTCTGATCTAGAGCCTTAGCTAGGTCATTTTTTCAAAAAAAATTTTGGAAGCTCACAATAATTTTTTGAAGTACCAAATTTCTGAAATTATTAAAAACAGAATCTACGGGACAGTGGAGAAGAAAGTAAAACCGAATAAAAAGCATATGGAAGACACCCCGAGACTCCGGGCCCTATTGCCACACATGTGTCGAACCCTTATGTTCCACCCTCATGCAATATCTCGAGCCAGCATATATATATAAACATATAAATGTATATAGCAGCTATAGGAGACAAATGCTGAGGGTATGTTGGCGATCTCTGAGGGTAGTTCGAGCCACATGCACCCGCCACATGCTAAACACTCATTTGAGCACATGGAACACACACGAGACAAATTTAAAGGACTTTTCTCGAACGGAATCCTAAAATTTCCTCTAATTTTATTACCTGCTGTTTGTTTACCCCTCAGGATGCCCATGCAGTGCAATATGTCTGGACAGTCGAGAAGTCTAGTAAGACTTAGATGAGTTTTTGTTAACGGCCACGTGGCCATTTGACCCCATCTGGTTGGGTTTACAAGCCTAGAACAATATTTGGGGACTAATTTACGATACGAGAGACTTTTTAAAATTCGTAACTTTGTAAATTATTAAAATAAAGAATCCAAATAAATTTTGGCTTAAAAAAGAGAATTGAAGGTACAAATTTTGTATAAAAAAATTTTTTTTTAATTTATAGGAGCCGTGATATTAATTATCAAAAATTAATTACAGAAAAACTACCGTTAATAACGTTTTCGACTTTTTTTTTACTTCTAAATTCGCTATAACTTTTTTCCTAATTAAAATTTTTGAACCAGCCAAATTTTGTCTTAAAGTAGAGAACTGAAGGTACAATTTTTGTATTAAAAATTTTCTTCTAAACTCAATAGGTCCTAAGATATAAATTATCAAAAATTCATTATCGAAAAACTACCATAAACAACGTTTTCGACTTTTTTTTTATTCCTAAATTCGCTATAACTTTTTTTCTAATTAAAATTTCTGAACCAGTCAAATTTTGTCTTAAAGAGGAGACCTGTACCTACAATTTTTGTTTTAAAAATTTTCTTCTAAACTTAATAATTCCCAAGATATAAATTATCAAAAATTCATTATCGAAAAACTACCATAAACAACGTTTTCGACTTTTTTTTTATTCCTAAATTCGCTATAACTTTTTTCCTAATTAAAATTTCTGAACCGGCCATTAAAATTTTGTCTTAAAGTAGAGAATTAAAGCTACAAATTTTGTATGAAAAATTTTTTTTCTAAAATCAATAGGAGCCAAGATCCAGCAATTCAAAAGAAGAGTGAAATATTTGTCATAATATTTGATGAATTTAAAAAAAAATAATTATTAAAATTAATAATAAGATTTATTATTGAATGGATTGTATGTAT